AGGAAGGACTTGGCTTAGGTTTGTCAAGATCGTACCAGTAGTTAAGCATTTCATTATCTAATCTGGTGATTATTCTTAGATTCCCACCTATTTCCTTATCTAATACGGGCGATCATGCTCAAAATTTTGATTTGTACCCTTAAAATGTTTTTGCCCCTTTTAACATTGGTTACTTATGTGTTTTGTGTGTTTAAGTTTTTAAATTCTGCTGTTTACTCTATGTTTTCTGGCTTTCTTTGCAGAATGGTGTTTCCTCCAATTAATCCTACTGGTGGCTTTAGTGATCTTCTTCCTGGGCCTGGTGCTGGAATGTATCCTACTAGGTATTGTACTTCAACAAATCATGATGTTGACGGTCATTGCAGTTTACACCCAGTTTTATTGTTCCAAATTTGAACACATATATGTTTTGTCTGTCTTTCAGGGGCGGTTTTAGCAGTGGGGGCATGCTTCTAGGTTTGTACATACTTCTTTATTTTTAATGAGCTTGATAATAATCATATGAAGTTTTTTTATCATGACTCACATTTCATTTGTCATGCGAATCTAGGACCCAATGATCCTCGGTGGTTTGGTGGCGTTGGAGAGCCTGGGTTTCCAGGAGGAGAACCGTGAGTTGTTACTCTCTCTATTTCTCTCCCTTGCTTATGTTATACTTTGTATTGCTGTTCTAATTTTGGTTGGATTTATTTTTGGAACAGGGGTTTTCCTCATTTTGATCCCCATAGGCCAGCGGGTGTTCCACCAGGTGCCCGTTTTGATCCATATGGCCCTCCAGGAGTTCCTGGTTTTGAGCCTAATCGGTTTGCAAGGTAATATTGAAATTACATTTTGCATCAGTACCCCCATAATAACTTCCTGAAAATGATTTAATAAGGCATTGACTGAACCTGGTATTCCATGTATTTGAACTTTGAACCAGTTTGTACTGTTTTTCTTGGTAATTATTGTTTGAGCGTTATGAATGAATGGGTGGCATAGGTTACATTGGTTTTTTGGTTTGAAGTTTAATGGTCAATGATGGATGGTTTTAGTTACTGGTTTGATTCTGTGATGGAGGTTTCCAATGAAGGTAGTGTAAGTGAGGTTTTTTTACTCTTTTTTTTTTTTTTTTTTGGTTTAAAAAGAAAAAATCGTTTCCCCGTAAAGCAGATGGAATTTAAACTGGGCTCGCACCTGGTCTCTGCCCAAGAGAGCTTCCATAATTTTAAGTTTGGCACTTGTTGTTTTCTCCCTTGGAACATGAAAAAAATACATATATTCAGTATCTTTTTATAATGGGCTTAACTGACTATTCACTATCTTTGGGCCTGCTTAATCAGTCAGGGTGGTATTGATTGGGACTCATCCAAATACATGCTTAATGTTTTGGTAGTTTGGATTTAACAAATAGTGAAAATTTAGGCGCAATTCACCTAGCTTATCATAATATTCTATGATTTCTATTTTGTTACAGGAATCCGCGGAGGCCAGGGAGCGGGACTCATCCAGACCTGGAGCATTTTGGGGGTGGCTCAGATTTCATTTAGATGTGTGATGCAAAAGAGCTGTCCTTTGACATCAAATAAGAAATACTTGATTACTTACTTGAGCTAAGAGATGATCTTGTTTTTCTTTCTTTTGGCTTGCAAGTTACCTATGTAAATGAGAGTTTGTACAAAGTTTCTAACAAGCTATCTGTAATGCGTATTCTCTCTCCCTTTTTCTTAAAGAGCCTTTATGCTTTAATGCAAGGATTAATCAGATTGCCCAGGAGATTCATTGCATCTTCTACATTTGTTACATTACGCAATCAAAATTTGTCAACCAAATGGAGATGGATTTTGTGAGTTAGAATAAGATCCTGACTGTTCTTTTTCTCGAGAATTCGTTATACTATTTGGTTTTCGTTGATTAGGAAAATGTCGGAAACCATGAAGTAATTAAGTTCAATTGTCTCATTAGATGCTTCCAACGTGGTCAAATTGATTGGTACCTCACAATTTTCTTACCACCCTTTCCTTCTGTTTTACCAAGAAAAGAAGACTCCATTTACCATACGTCCGTACTTGGAATCTGATACCCTGCGTATATGCAAATCTGTTTCTAGCTTTATAACACAAGTCTATCAGCTTGAAGAACACAAATGAAGATTTTTATAAATTTCTTTTTTTTTTTTGTCCGAGCAATTCCATTTGTCTTAACATGCAGAAATGAGCCATCGGAAAATCACAAAAATCCAAAAAAAATGATGTTCTCGTGTTGCAAAGATGACAGGGGTAGGGCCCAACTGACCCACCGCTTGAGAAACTTAGTGAGAAAGAGGAAGTTTCCATCCAAGTCCCAGTACTAATTTCCAAACCCGCAGAAACGTAAGGAACTGGGAAGCGTGTGACACATTTCCGAGCATTTGCTCTAGAAGCCCCTGTTATTACTTTAAGTCTCTTTAGGCCCTAAATCAAGCAGAAAAAGCCAACCCCTTCTAGATTGAAAAAGACACAAACTATTTCTTCACATATAAAAATAACCCATCATTGTTTTCTTATGCCCATCTATATCTGCTGCTGAAGTGTTTGTAGAAGCTGTACAGTTTTTTGCTGGAAGAAAAGAGGAGATATGGGGCTGCCCAAGTTTTATCTCCTACCTTTGTTGCTTCTGATTGTTGTTTTTGCATCGAAGAAATCTTCAGCTGTTGAAGCAAGGCCACTTTCCATCTTGCCACAACAAGGTAAAAGGGTTTGATAAAAACATGTCCCCCAAAATCTCTCTGTTTTTCTGAGTTCTTGATCAAATTGTTTAATCAGATGTCCCGACTGATATCAATTGTAGGACATGCAAAGGTTTTTTCAACACTTGGAATTGCTTGCGAGTGCTGTGATGGAGCTGGAGGTGAATGCACAAGTACATGGACTGAGCCTTGCACTAGGCTCAAATGTCTTCCTTGGAAACATTATTAATAGCTGAAGACTTCTTTTTCTTCTTCTCTTTCCATTTGTAAATAAAAATACCTTACATATATATATATTCTCTAAAGCGGACGTTGGGACGCTATGTAATGTATTTTCTACTATTTCTCTTGCTCTTTTCTTGTTTACAATAGCATTCACAAATTATTAGTATGTGGACATTCGGATGAGAGAATAAATATATATACACTAGTGGAATTATATTAGTTTCTTCTTTGGTTTCAGTTCTGTTCTCTGTTTCATCAAGCTCTATTATATGGGAAAACTTAATTAACATCATTATTTGTATGCTTGAGCTGATTAAGCTTCAAGCTACCTAAATTTCTAACTAGAATCTTAGAACGAATTTTCTATGGGCTGTAAAGTTTTTCATAATTTGAAGTGATGTGTGTGTGTGATTGTATGGAGGAGTTTTAGGTGGGAACTGAGATTAGAAACGTGGCTGAAATTTCTTCACAGGAGGACTTGCTGTCTTCATTCTGATTCAATGAAAATTTGACTTCTAGAGGCCCCTCCCTCCCTCATCACACAATAATATGTAAGTAAACTTTCATTAATAATTGAGCTTTGTCATCATATACCAGCTTCTTTTTTTCTTCTAGATGCAAGATGAAGGAAAAACATCTGTTGATTTGGTAGCTTAAATTTGAAGCCCATTGGTAGGTTTTGGGGTCACTTATGTAAAATAGGGAAGAAAGATATTTGCCTGAATAATTTTCATTGAGTCAGAGGGTGTAACTTTATACAAGAGATTTCCTATAATGATGCTAAGCTATTCTAGGAATCTAAATTACAATAGGAAAATAAATATTCTACAGCACATAATTACATATTTGTTTCCTAATCCATCCTATGAACATTAGGAAATCATTGACCTTCTTAACACTCCCCCTCAAGTTGGAGAGTGAATGTCGAGAACTCCCAACTTGCGAATCATGGTAGAAAAGGGTTCCTTTCCCAATGGTTTAGTGAAGACATCCGCAAGTTGATTTGCCAAAGTAACAAACTTGGTTACAACCGAACCATCCTGTATTTTATCCCGAATAAAGTGGCAGTCCATTTCTATATGCCTGGTTCTCTCATGGAAAACGGGATTGGCTGCTATATGTAAGGCTGCTTTGTTATCACAATGTAGCAATGCCGGTTTCAGATGCAATATTCGTAAATCCTTCAATAATGAACGTAACCAAGACAACTCACAGCATGTACCTGTCATGGCTCTATATTCAGCTCTGCTAAAGAGAGTGACACTATTTTCTGCCTCTTTGTTCGCCAAGAAACAAGTGAAGATCCTAAAAAAACACAATAACCCGTAGTGGATCTACGAGTCATTGGACAACTAGCCCAATCTGAGTCACAAAAAGCTCGCAGAGACAAATCATTTTGAGAAGAGAAAAACAAGCCCTGTCTTGGAGCACTTTTCAAATAACGCAACACACGCAAGGCAGCTTCCATATGTGGTCTACGTGGTGCATGCATGAATCGGCTTAATACATGTACCGAATTCATGATATCAGGCCGAGTAATAGTTAAATAAATTAGGCGTCCCACAAGTCGCCTATATTGAGATGGATCTCTAAGTAATTCACCTGTATCAGAGAGCTTTGTGTTTTGCTCCATGGGAAAGTTCACAGGTTTAGCACCCAAAATTCCACCATCCTTCAGAATTTCCAAAGTGTATTTCCACTGTGAAACAGAAATACCTCTCTTTGATCGAGAGACTTCAATGCCCAAAAAATATTTCAAATCCCCCAAATCTTTAATTCGGAAACGACTATGCAAAAATTGCTTAAGAGTGGATATAGCCTTGAGATCATTACCCGTAATAAGAATATCGTCAACATATATCAACAGGGTGGTAAAGGACTTTCCATTCCGACATGTGAATAACGAGTAGTCCGCTTTGGACTGAACATATCCGGCAGCTTGAACAACTGTTGAGAACTTGGCAAACCATTGACGAGAAGCTTGCTTTAAACCATACAACGACTTGTTGAGGCGACACACCAAGTTCTCCCCCTGTCGTTGAAGACCAGGAGGTGGAGACATATAAATTTCTTCATAGAGATCACCATGAAGGAAGCATTGTTGACATCTAATTGGTGAAGGGACCAATCCTGAGCAGCTGCCAGAGCCAATAAACAACGAACAGTAATCATTTTAGCAGTGGGAGAAAAAGTGTCATGATAATCGATACCTTCCAACTGTGTGTAACCCTTGGCCACCAAACGAGCTTTATAACGTTCTATGGTGCCTTCTGAGTGGCGTTTGATTTTATAAACCCAACGACATCCAATGGGTTTCTTGCCATGAAAGAGGGTAGTGAAAGACCAAGTGTGATTAGCTTCTAAAGCTGCCAATTCAGATTGCATGGCGTCCTGCCAGTGTGAATGGGAAGCTGCTTCTGTATAAGAGCTGGGCTCAACATCCTAACTAATAGTAGCAACAAAAGAATAATGTTGTGGTGAGTAACGATGGTAAGAGAGAGTTACAAAAAAGGATACCTTGTACCTTTGGTGGAACCAGACGACGAAGGCAGCGACGGTTTGGGAGACGTCACTTGGTGGCAAACATAATCACGTAAAGCACGTGGAGAACTACAATGTCGTTGAGAACGTCGTAAAACTGGTGCGGGAGGGGGCTGAACGATGCTGGCAGGAATGGGTTGATCAAAAGTGGAGGTGGCTGGATGCCGAGACACAGAAGGAGAATTTGGCTGGGTCATTTCTAATGGAGGGACGGAAAGGGGCTGAACGACAGGAGGGACGGGAGGGGGCTGAACGACGCTGGTAGGAATGGGTTGATCAAAAGTGGAGGTGGCTGGATGCGGAGATGTGGGGAATGAGTCGGAAATAGGAGGGTCAGACACAAAATGAGGAAGGATGGGGGCTGGAGGTGTTGGAATGGATGGAAGGGATGCATAGGGAAAAATAGTTTCATGAAAAACAATGTCACGACTAGTGAAAAATTTATGAGTGGTAAGGTCATAGAGCTTGTAGGCTTTTTGACCGACCGGGTAACTAAGGAAAACACAACGTTTGGCTCTATAAGCGAATTTATGAGGGACATGCACATCAGTAGCATAAGCAAGACACCCGAAAACCTTAAGATGGGAATAGGAAGGGGTCTTGCCATAAAGGCGTTCAAAAAGAGTTTGTTGGGAAAGAAGTGGTGTGGGCAAACGATTAATCAAATATACAGCGGTGAGAACACATTCTGCCCAAAAACGCAAAGGGAGATGGGCTTGAAAGCGAAGGGCGCGGGCTGACTCAAGGATATGACGATGTTTGCACTTTACAACCCCATTTTGTTGGGGTGTATAGACACAAGAGTGTTGGTAAGTGGTGCCATTTTGTTGAAAAAAATCTTTAATAGAAGAGAATTCCCCCCATTATCAACTCGAATATTAGCAATGGATGCAGCAAATTGAGTTTTGATAAAGGAGAAAAAGTTTGTAAGTAAATGTTGTGTTTCACTTTTGTGTTGCATAAAGAATACCCATGTGAAACGAGAATAATCATCCACAATTGTCAAAAAATATTTAGCACTAGAAAAAGAAGGAATTTTGTAGGGGCCCCAAATATCACAATGAATTAACTCAAATGGTCTAACAGACGAAATTGAACTAGCAGAAAAAGGAAGTCGACATTGTTTTGCAAGTGCACAAACATCACAAGCATTATTGGATTTGAAAGGAAAATTGAGCAAATTTTTTGCCATAAAATCTAATCTAGAGGAAGATAGATGCCCTAATCGGCGGTGCCACAAGTCAGTGGAGGAGGTGACATGAGAACAAGATGGATGGCTAGCAATGGCAGCAGAGGATATGAATTTAGGGCTCGATGTTGTTGACGCCAATGCGACCAAGTAATAAAGTCCGTCTCGTTGTTTACCCAAACCAATCGTCGTCTTCGTAGCCAAGTCCTGCAAAATGCACCTAGTAGGAAAAAAAGTTACTGAACAATTCAATCCTTTTGTAAGTTTCCTTACAGACATAAGATTGACCTTGAAAGAAGGGATATGTAAAACATCTCGTAAATGAACTTGTGAATTTAAAGATAAAGTCCCAGTAGAAGAGCAACGGTGCTTGTGACAAACTTGAAGAAGTGCCAGCAACATTGGCCTTGGAGGATTGATTTGCCAATTTATTGTTCATAATAGATAATATCTGTTGAAACTGTATATCAGAGAGAAATTGCTCGCGCTCCATGATGAAGAGCAATGGCAGAGAAAAGAAAAATTGAGATGGCAAAAAAAGAGAGAGCTAGGGTTTGTCTTCCTGCTCTGATACCATGTAAAATAGGGAAGAAAGATATTTGCCTGAATGATTTTCATTGAGTTTGAGGGTGTAACTTTATACAAGAGATTTCCTATAATGATGCTAAGCTATTCTAGGAATCTAAATTACAATAGGAAAAGAAATATTCTACAGCACATAATTACATATTTGTTTCCTAATCCATCCTGTGAACATTAGGAAATCATTTACCTTCTTAACAACTTAGGGTTTTCAAGTGAGCCACATGTTCCCTTAATACCTAGCATTCGTGTCATGTTTGCAGTGTTCGTGTCAACCCATTTTTCTTGACACAACACGAAAGATAAGAAAATGGACTGGAAATGTCAAACACGAACACGACTCATTACAATTCGCGAATCACACGACACGACACGATAACCCATTAAGAATTAAAAAACAAAAAAACAAAAGAATAATAATAAAAATAAAAACAGAAATATTAAACAATTAAAAAAATCAACCAGTTCAAGAAAAAAAAAATCGAACAATCACAGTGTCTAGATCTAAAAGCGGATGAGAGTGAGCGAGAAAGAGAGATGGAATAGGGGTATCTACGCTACCACCCTATTAATGAGTTTGAACCTTTCTTTGAGAGATTGGGTTTGAAACGAACCGAGTATGTCCCTCGTCTTCCTCATAAATTGATGCTCTTGATTGATGACGATTTTCTGCTTCATAATTATGGTGGAGGAAAAGACGAAAGAGAAGAAAGTGAAGAAAAAGAAAAAGAAAAGAAAAAAGGATAAATTTACAAAAATGCCCCTGAGCTTAGTGGGTTAACATGTATTTACGAATTGACACGACACGACATGATAGCTTAACGAGTGGATTACAGGTCAACATAATATCAACACGACACGATAACTCATACCCAAATACTGAATTTTTTGTGCGAATTCGTATCATGTT